TATCATGTAAATAAGTAAATGATTTCATTTAACAAAATGTTAGGAAAGGCATTTTATGTTGACATTCTTGCTTGCCCCAGGTCAATGACTCATTAAGTAGTAAAACAAGAGTTGAGGGTTTAGTGCCAGAGCATGCACCTTTAAAAAACAAAGACAACATCTATAAATGAATCCAGCAGATTTCCTGTAAACAATTAGAATGCCAAGTTCATTAGTGCAGATTAAACACTAGAAGAATGGATCTAAATTCTTGCTCTGGGCAAGATATTTCTACAAACCAGTCCAGAACACCGTTATTAACTAAAACATAACACACTGATGAAGTGACAAACCACGCAAACAGCAAAGTGACAATTATAAAACAAAAAACACACCAGCACATTTGTGAAATAAGTTATTTTATAAATACACACTTAATTATTTTTACAAAACAATGTTCTTACAAAATTGTGTATCTTGTGTGAAGATGAATAGGAAACCTTGACTTTCCTGGAAAGTTAAATCTCTAGATCACATGATTTCTACATATCCATCCCTGAGAAATCATGGGTGTGACATGCCCAAATGCGAAAATCACATTTTTTCTGAGCTCTTGGGATGAAAGATTGGTCCTCCTAAAAATATGAATGTTGTAAAATTATTTTCTTGGAGTTTTGAAGGACACAGAAATTCAGATACTGTCAGGTTAAACTGCCACCTACAGGATTGGACACTATCAAGCACAAAAATTGTAGGCTAGCCCCAGGGTAACCATTTTCCACCCAACTTGATTCTTTTTTCTAGTGTGGTAGGAGAATAAACTTTTTTTCTCCACTCTGGACCATGCTGGTCTTTCCTAAGCCTGACTTTGGAATGCCATACCCAGACCACATTGGACATGTTGAACATGTGGATGTGGGGCTAGCCTGGAATGTGACCTTCAGATGCTGGGCTCTGCATTGTGGCAAATTCATGTACCGTATTTCCCGGCGTATAAGGTGACTGGGTGTATAAGACGACCCCCTAATTTTCCAGTTAAAACATAGGTTTTGGGCTATACTCGCTGTATAAGACTACCCCCCTTCTGAGGCAACACCATTTAAAAAAATCAGATTTTTTAACTAAAATGGTTATGACTTACCAGTACTTAAAATCCTTCAAAATCCTCATGTTCATCCTCTGACATCAGTAGTTCATGAATGACATCTTGTGATACATTTGTAAGACAGTCATCATATGGATCAAATTCCAAATCAGATGGTTACCGCTGGATGTGCGGTAATACGGTAGCTTCAGCTACATACAGTATACAGTATATATACAGCCCGCTGGATGTGCAGTAATGTACATACAGTATACTGCGCTGAGCCAAGCTGGCTCAAAACAAATGTCCCTATGACAGATTAATCTGTCAGCCCGCTGGATGTGCGGTATATACAGTATACTGAGCCAAGCTGTTTCAAAACGTACCGGTACGTGCCTACGGTAATCAGACCGCTGGATGTGTATATGTACAGTAGCTGTGGCTACATACAGTATACGCTGGGCCAATCATGGTGAGCGATGTATTCTACTAATGAATACAAAGCCTGCTCGGATTGGCTGAGGTTGTGACATCATCAGCCCACCTCTCTGACTCAGCCAATCTGAGCAGGCTTTGTATTCATTAGTAGAATACATCACTCGCCGTGATTGGCCCAGTGTATACTGTATGTAGCCACAGCTACCATACATAAACGCATCCAGCGGGCTGATTACAGTAGGGACGTACCGGTACGCTTCTGAAACCGCTTGGATCAGCGCAGTATACTGTATATACCGCACATTCAGCGGGCTGACAGATTAATCTGTCATAGGGACATTTGTTTTGAGCCAGCTTGGCTCAGCACGGTATACTGTATGTACATATTACCACACATCCAGCCAGCTTCACCCAAACAAACTCAAGGTTCACCTTTTATACCCCGCGTATAAGACGACCCCAGATTTTTGGGGTATATTTTTAACTATAAAAAGTAGTCTTATACGCCAGAAAATACTGTACTTGTAAAAGTTAATAGTGGAGCGGTTTCAAGAGCAGCGGCATTGCCACAGCATTTGCCCCATCTGACTCTCTTCGCTGAATTATGCCATTACTTTGAGGGAACCCACACCAGCAACGTGGAATCTGGTAATCTTTTAGTTTTAAGACTTTACCCCCTTCCCTGTTGTCAGGAGTCTTTACTGCAACTCAAGACTTTGCAGTCAGGATCATTGAGAAATTCAGTAAGCCTAGTTTCACACTAGTGCAACGGGAACGGCGTGTGATTCAGACAGGAATCGCACTGCATTCCTGTTCAAATCACATGTGATTCTTTGCGGTGCAATTTGAGCCCATTCATTTTGTATAGGCTCAAATCGCACCACACAGAAAAGGTGCAGGCATCTTTTTTTTGCCGCTCTGGCATTGGAACGGATCGGATTGAATGCATGTGATCTGATTCTTGCAATCGCACTGCTTTTTTTTACCTGTTTTGGGGTGCCATTAATTTAACTGACACCCACAGCAGATCGCATGAAAGCGATGCGATTTCAATGTAGTGCAGGAAGTGCACAGGATTCACTGTGTTTTCCACATCGCATATATGTGAACCTAGGCTAAATCTGGCTCTAAGCATGCCCCAGCTCAATCTTCTGCATGGTTTATCTCTGACCATCCTGAGGCCTTGGAACAGGCCAGGCCACTGGTTGCAGTGACCATCTTTGACTCAGAGTCCCAACAGTCTATTTATGAAGAGAGGGTTTTGAGGCACCTCAGTCTCCAGCTCTCACCCCAGAATTACAAGAGGTATTTCAGACCTTATTTATGCACTGCGTACCTCCCACCTCCCTGGAGAATTGGCCTGTGAACTGGAAAACACCCTGAAGGTTTGTGGGGACCCTGTCCAATTGTCCTGTAGGGGGCATTATAAAACATCAATATCTGAATTCCTGTGTCCTCTATGGACTCCAAGAAAAAGATTTTATGACAAATACAAAAATCCTAATTTTAGGTGGACTGATCCCTTACCCCAAAGGCTCAGAAACAAAAAGGTGATTTTTTACATTTGGGCTTGTCATGTCTGCTAATTCTCAGGGATGGATTACTCCTTCCTGATGCAGAAATCATGTGATTTAGAGACTTCACTATGCAAAAAATGGACCAGAAAGGCACTCATATTTCAGCTTTGTATAAATGACAGAACGGTACCGTGCCCAATAGCCCTGCATTTCTTTGAAACTCCAACAATGAGATCTCATCTGCAATTACTGTCTTAGTTCTCTGCCAGTTGTATTTGCAATGGGAGTCTCTCATTTTCTGCTGTGACAAATACAAGAAGGACTGGAGAACGCACCATCTACCAACATAGAATAAATTGAAGCCTTAAATCTGAATGTTCCAAAAGGGATGGGGGCTTAATGTTTATGAGTTTGAGGTTTGCAAGGGCTGACTCTTATTGTAAACAAAAGTTTAAGGATAAATAAGTAGATATGGACACTGCTAAAACAGCTAGGAGATGACCCAAATGTAACATTTAAAAATGTTGGGCACTGCACTTTTTTTTATAAAGCCTTGAAGTATATGTATTTGTGCAAATGAATACAAGTAGAGGCAAGTGATTAAGCCCCCTCACCGCCCTGGACAAATATGGCCACATATTTCATTTGTATTTCCCTTATAATTAATCTTTGTAGGCTGCCTTCTCTAATTTAAAATATCAGTAAACAGGTTAGTGTAATGTATTACAAAAACTCCAAATACAAAAATACATAGAAAGTTTGTAGCTGTTGAGGTAGCATTTACAGAGTAGATTGTACATAAAAAGTATGTATAAGAATACAAAATTAAAAAACAGCAGTCTCGGCTTATAAACAAATATAAAAACTCCATTAGCAATATTTTAAAATAGAAAAAAAATGAAAAGTGGCTCTAAAATAATGAGGAATTTATCACAGTTAAAAAATGAGTCCACCAAAAGAGCAAAGACAGGACTTGCCGCCAATAAAACTGGTAAGTATTAATAATCTTTTTGGCAGGAGCCATTTTTAAGAAGAAAAATATTTTGGCAAGAGACACTTTAACTAATATTGCTACTCATGCATAATGCTAAACTCCAAGTAGAATCCCCAAAGTACCTGTTATCCCATAATCAGCCATAGCTGTTTAAAGTGGTTCTAAAGGCAGAAGGTTTGCTTCCCCCCAGCCCCCCTCCTTACCTGAGCCCCATACTGATCCAGCAATGTGCATGAGAGCAGCGGCTCTCCTGGATCTCTTTCTTCATCAGCTCACACAGCAATGGGAGCCATTGGCAACTGCTGCTCTCAATCACAGCCAGTAAGCCAACGAGGAGAGAGCAGGGGTGGGGCTAAGTCACAATGTGTGTGTCAATGGACAATGTTTCATTCATAGGAGCGTGTCTCAGAAGCGAGGCTTGCTATTGGGGTCAGTTGGCATAGGGAGGAGCTAGGACCCGCCCATGAGGGACCCAAAAAGAAGAGGATCAGGGCTGCACTGTGTAAAACCATTGCACAGAGCAGGTAAGTATAACATGTTTGTTATTTAAAAAAAATCAAATAAAACACGAGTCTTTAGTATCACTTTACTGAGGCACCCACACTGGACTGTGATGCCAAAGGGAATCTGACTTCTAAATTCAAACATACCATTTGAACATTGGGGAAGTTTGGCATTGAGTGTGGGATACATAGAAGGGTTTTTTTTCCTCCCTCATAAATGACTCGCTCAGGCACTATGTGGTGCCTGCACTTAGGTGCTAATAAAATAGGGGCTGTTGCCATTTGTTTGTACTGCTAATAGAATAATTCCCTTACCTATCAACTGTTCTTTACCCCTAAGCTGGTACACAAGCCTTTACAAGCTGCTACAGCTATCAAGTGACGTGTTGGGAGAAACCCTTTCTTCCTTTCATTTGATTGAGGGGTAGTATTGTACACACATTGTAGGGAACTACAACATTAAGACAGCAAAGTAACCAGGAAGATTAATGGTTGTTTTCTGCAGGTTCCATAAACTCTGAAGTGAAGACAGCTTCAGCGTACTCATCACAAAGGTCATGTAGCTCTGCTGCTACCTCACCTAAAGCGTCATTCATGAGATCTTCTGCCAAGCTGTAAAACAATGAATAAAGGGAATTACAGAAGAGTATCATAATTCCATCCATGTTACTAGCGAAGATAAAGTAAGGTAGATGACTAAAGTAAAGCATTCCACGTATTAATACTTCCACAGTTCAAGTAAAAACTATTATACAAGCACGTAAGGGCCCTTTCACACTGCAGACATGTTTTAATGCACTGTAAACTGCATCTAAGGCACAAGGGGACAATTATCTTCATTAGCACAGTGCATGTAGCATGGTTTTTTAATTCTCCTTGTTAATCTTTAGAGCAGTTTCCAGTAAGCATATTTTCCACTGAATGGCCATGCACTGTATGTTTACTGCATAAAAAAAAAACACACTGCAACACAATAAAAAATGCATACAATGCATATTAAAGTGGAACTTCACTCTCTCAATCAACATTGACCATTTTTAATCCTTATGCTGCTAACATTATTAAAAAGATAGGAAAGTATATCATATTTACTTGTTTTAAACTTTTTTTTTACATTTCTTTAGTTACTTCCTGGTTTCCATGCTTTGGCAAATGATTTCATACATCCCAGGAGCCTTCGGGAGGGGAGGGAGGGTTCTGAGCTCAGCCAATGCCTGAGCTAAGGGCATATGGATTCCAGGAAGTAAATACTACATGAATCATCTGCCCTTACTCAATATGGCCACTGCCAGAAATACCAGGGGGTGTTTTCCAAACTTAATTCTCAGCAAAATAAAGCATGGAGACATGGATGGATGGGTGAGTTTGCTCTGAATATTAACAATGAATTAAATAGCATTTTTGGTTTGTGGTGTTCAAATTCAGTGCAGTTCCACTTTAAGCTCTGCAGCTCAGAGATGCAAATGGCCAAAAAAGTGAACCTTTTATGGAAAAAGTATCTAAAGGTGCTCTTACTGGCCTCCTCATGAAAATGCTAATTATCTGGCTCCAATACATCAATATTTCTCAACGAGGATTCCATAAAACACTTGATTTCCTATAGTAGTTTCTAGGGCTTCCATCAGCGTGAAAAGTAGCCAAAGGTTTTAAAGGCACACTACAAATTTTACTGTCTGTGTTTTAGCCCTGGTTCACACTGGATCCGACTTTGAAATCATGTGACGTCTCTTAAAGTCGCATGATTTCAAAGTCACATATCAGTGCAACTTGGCACACATCTGTGCAACTTCATGCACAGATGTCTATGCAAGCCACATCTAAAAGTGCAAAAAACAGTGCAGGAACTACTTTCAAACTGTTTCATTGTGGACAATACTGTGTAACTTGTCATGCAATTTTAAACTGTAAAATCGAATGACAAGTCGCACAGGTGTGAAACAGGGCTTAATTATTTCTATATCTACAATTTACCTATAGCTTTAATGAACCAAAAGCTGTAAATATCTTAATTACTAGGAGGTTTTCCCTGAGATCTGAAAAGGATTGCAAAGGTTTCACCCTAGCAAAAGGCTAAGAATGGCCATATTTTTAAAAATATATCTTATTGCTTTCCTGCCAATGACTTAAAGTGACTTATTACACTAATCACTTACCTCTCAGCAATGTGCCATGGGTTGAAAGCACCCACTTCCTCATGAGATGTCAGCCGAAGGTGTCTGTCAAATTTCTCTCCATAATTTTGAATACTTTGTAGCATCTGATGAGGAACAGAGATCCTAAGTCCTTTATCTTGTGATGGTGGATGCCGAATAAAATGGTGCGGAGGGGATCGAGACAACTCTTCTCTGTTTATTTGCAGTGAACTACAATAGAGAAAAATAAAAGTTTGTTGTGTATAGAATAAGAGTCAATACTGACAATTCATTAAAGAGGTTTTCCACTTTAAGAAAAGAAAGTGGAACCCCAGCTTTGCAGTTTTATATGCATAATATATAATAAGAGCAACAGCTGAGTTCTTATCTTCCAGTTATTTATGGGGGAAAAGGGAATGAAAACAGTCCACATTCTCTCATATAACTGCTTTTATAGTCAACAGCAAGGCACTTATCCTCTGTTGTTTAGAAGAAAAAAATCTGGTTATTTTGCTATCGTACTGGTCATAGCAAACCAATGTATGCAAAGTAATAACTATGATCTAAAGACAAAAACTCCTTAATGTGCTCAAAGCGACCACTACTTTTATGACTACATTACTCTAAAGTAGAACAAAGGCCTCCCATTAAAAAATATGAGCTGCAGTACATTGTTATAGGCACGTGGACTTACAGTTTTCTATTAATCCTCCTGCAAATTCACACAAATACCTTTTGATCAAGCAAAGTGAAGTCCACCTAATGTACTGCTTCCTGTGATAGTGTGGCAACAATGCTTCACTGCTCCTAAATTCAGAGTAGAGTTGACACTTTCATATGAGCTGTCTGCTTGCAGTACAGTGGGAAACATGTTTCAGGGTGGCCTGGCCAGCAGCATTGCCACTGCTGTTTCACAAGTTTATCAGTCAGCACCTGGTCACACCAAGTCCTGCCAACTTCTTTTTGGATTGACAGCACTGCCTGTTACTGAAACTCTCCAACTGTGAGTTGCAGTGTCTGGGAGGTCGAGTGTTAGACACAGATGGAGGATTCACCTTCGTCAAGAAAATATATTTTTTTTTTTACTTGTGCAGAACACAGTAACTGAATTTGGGACCTATTGTAACTGTTATACAAGAGACTTTAAATTTGATTTTCAAAATTTCACATGGTTCTAATTATACTGCCTTCCAAGTTTACATATAGACCAAGCTGTCCAACAAAAGAGACTTTGGCAGTGGTTGGGACAAACTGTAACACTGCTTATATTAAAAACCTTGTGGACACAGGTGATCATTCTAAGCAGCTGGAGGACAATTTGATCCGCATGTAAAAGGTGCAGGAAACTATACTGGAATGAAACATCCCAAGTAACCTCTCTCATTTCTGCTGTGCATTATGCGAATAGACAAGCACAGACCTTCATGATGGCCAGTAAACCATTCTTGCTGCACATGACACTGTTTATAACTTTAGACATGGAATTAAGGACCCAATATAAAGTGGCAACTGTTTGGCTCAGTTTGAAGTTAGTAAAAATGAACTAAAAGAGAAGTTTTTTTCCCCAAAATTATACTTACCTAGGTAAATGTAGCATCAGTCTGATGCTGCATCTGCCCCCTGTGTTGACCGTTGAGTTCTCACTGCTGCTATGAGCAGTGACTGTCAGTCACTGATGTCTGCTCTGATCCCCCCTCCCCCAAACACACTGGAGCGCTGGGCTGTGGAGGGGGAGGGATTGGCTGGCTCAAGCGCTCAGCGACTTGTCGAGAGACTGAGGCAGGTACTGCTCCAGACTCTGGGTGGATTCCAACTTCGGGATCTTTCCTCAGCCTAGACTGGCTGAGTGACGTCAGCCAACAGCTGACTTCAGCCCGCTGTCAGCTGAAAATGGGTCACAGGAGTGCAAAACGAACTGCATTCCTGTGATCCAGGCAAAAGAGCGCTGGCTGTACTTCTCCTCTAATGGATGAGTTCACCTTTGTTCACCATTTTTTTTCAAAATTCCAGCTCACCTATGTACCAATATAGCATTAATCTACTTATTTTGCAGAAATCCAAAAGCTTTCCATTTTTTTTCTACCACCTTTATGTCAGTGTCCCGATGGCTGTCTAGAAAGCTTTTCTATTACTTCTGCCTTATTTCCTGCAGAGACTTCAGGTCATGACACAGGAAGGAGTTGACCAGCTGACCTCATTAGCACGCACCCTGCATCATCTACTCTCCTACCTCCCACCAATGTCCAGGTGCATGACTATTAAATGAAATGCAATCAATCAGTGATCACAGTTCTCACTAAATACACAGACATGAATTTTTATTTTTCTACCTTATCTTTCATCTTGCATAGATCATTCATTTGGCAGAGTGTACTGAGTGAACAGAACTGTAATACTGAAAGCATGAAAATTGTGTTCTGGGTTCTGTAAAGTTCACATACACTATACAATCTGATTGTACATTCTCCTTTAAATCTACCATAAACTATGTAGTGCAAGGGCCTTCCTGATTGGATACAGAGTGACTGGGTAGGATTGGTGGGTCCTCCTATTTCCTAGTTCCGAAAAATCGAAAGGAAATTGTACACCAAGCGGCATTTCGCAAGGGAACATCTACACTGATCATCAGGGAATTAGTGTCCTGGTGATCAGTGTAGCCCCATCAGTGCAGCCAATAGTGCCCATCAGTGCCCATCTGTGCTGGCAATCAGTGCCCATCAGGTAAATCAGTGCTGCCTATTAGTGCCCATCAGCGCTGCCCATTAGTGCCGTCTAACAGTGCCCATCAGTGCCACCTATCAATGCCCATCAGTGTTGCCTAACAGTGCCCAACAGTGCGGCCTCACATTACCCATCAGTGCAGCCTCATCAGTGCCCATCAGTAGCTCCTTTTCAGTGCAGCCTATCAGTGCCCATCAGTGAAGGAGAAAAATTACTTATTTACAAAACTTTAACAGAAACTAAAGAAAACTTTTTTTAAAAAATGTGTGGTCTTTTTTTAGTTTGTTTAGCAAGAAATATAAACCCCAGTTGTGATTAAATACCACCAAAAGAAAGCTCTGTCTGTCTCAAAAAAAATTATAACAATTTGGTTTGCTTGATTGCACAATTGTCATTCAAAGTATGAGAACCTTGAAAGCTAAAACTTGGTCTGGGCAGGAAGGGGGAAAAAATGGCCGGTAGGCAAGTGGTTAATAGTCGTGCACCTGAAAGTGGGTGGGAGGTCGGCGGGTAGATAATGCAGGGTGTGTGCTAATGAGGTTAGCTGGTCAACTCCTTCCTGTGCCACGACCTAAAGTCTCTGCAGGAAATAAGGCCGAAGTAACAGAAAAGCTTTCCAGACAGCCATCTAGACACTGACATAAAGGTGGGTAGAAAAAATGGAAAGCTTTTGAATTTCTGCAAAAGAAGTACATTAATGCTATATTGGTACATAGGTGAACTGGAATTTAGAAAAAATTATAAAGGTGAACTTATCCTTTAAGCCGTTTTTTTTTTTTTAGGTGACCCTGCTACACAGGCCAACAGAGGGTATACTCTGGCCATGTTTTTTTTGCATAAGACAGACAGATACATTAATAATTATGTAAATATTAGTAGACAATGTTTTTAAATAAATTAGTCACATATCCCGAAACCTACATACATATGCATTCCACATAAAACTATGTAACAAAAATCACTAAATATATATATAAAAAACAAATAAATATATGATCCTAACTAGTATGTTGAAAAAGTTATTTTATTGAAGTTGTACTTTAACTATGCAGAACTAAAATATCAGCTGAAGTTGGCCTTCAAGTGATGGCAGCCATAAAATACTGGCAGGCTGGAGCATAAAAATAACAAAAATAAATAAAAGTTGTTTTAGTGAATATTATCCTCTACTTACTCTCCTTCTACAGGTTCCTCCAACAAAATTTCCACTAGAGGTTTCTGTTTCTCTGTAGACTTTGTGATTATAATGGGATGGGGAGAGCTGGGATTCTTGTCCATGTTTGCATGCAGTCGATCTGTAATGAGAGACCATCTTAGTAAGGGGATATACAATCAAAGACATTGCAAATATTTGCATGATATTGTATGTGAACCAAAAAACAAATAATTGATATTTACCCTTTTCTTCTTGTGCCCAAAAATCTTGGTCTGAATAGACTATCTTGGTATACCTCTGACGAACTGATTCCTGGTATTTCTAAGATACCCCAGAAACAACACAAATAATTAGAACAGTTGCAGAGATATTCTGGTATCTTAAGAAAAATCAGATAAAGAAAATGATTCTGTAGAATAGACTATAGTTTGGAGATGATTCAGTATGAATCTTAAATATACTGTGGTGCCTAAGCTAGATGGAAACATATTTCGTAGTATACTCATGCTGTGAGTGCCCAGTCTGGATGAATAAAATTCAGAAGTATGAGTTTGGAATTAAAAGGCTAGGCAAAAATCAGTATGACTTATACAATGGATAGTATTTAAACAATGATTCCTATAACAGCAATATGGTCTCTTAAATCTTACCTCTATTTCCTCTAATCGCTCAATCATGGCCTCCAAGTTGATATCATCTTGCGGGATAATGTTGGCATACACATTTCTATGGAACAAATTTAATTCCGGTAGACTGTCTTCCCTCCGATTTCCCGCTAAGGTGTTCTTTTGACTCTTGGGCTAAAAACAAAGCAGGCTTCAGCACTTAAAAAAAAATAAGTGAATAGCCTGAGCAGCTAGTTATTAACATGTCTCCCACCCGATAATCCCTAAAAAATATTGGAAAGATACTACAGTGCTAATCCTGAAATAAATAGCAATCAGTTAAGATGGTTGAGTAGTAGAATGGATATTAAAATTTATGGATTATTAGGTATCCATAGTATCCAGACTATATTTATCCAGAAAAATTACTGTATTGTTAATGAATAGTTGTATCTTGAAAAACAGGACATTTCAATGTCTTAATTAGAAAAATCCAGTAACGATCTGCAAACATTATCTGCCCCAAATTAACTATTGTCAATGCAGAACAAGATGTGAACGTTATAGCTGACCAAATACTCCACTTACTTTTCTGTCTTCCTGGTTTTGAAATTTTAAAGCCTAACTCAACCTTTACAAATAAATAAATAAAATACCCAGAATGCTGCCATATTATTATTATACAGTATTTATATAGCGCCAAAAGGTTTGCTCAGCGCTGTACATTATAGTGGGGGACAGTACATGAGACAATACAGTGACAAAACAATACACGAGGGGTTCGAGGGCCCTGCTCTTTCAAACTTACAATCTAGGAGTTCCCATCCACTCCAGGACCTCTTCAATGTTGAATGACAGACCGCATTATCCAATAACCTGGCCATTATGGACACCCCCTCAAGAAGTGTGTCATCATGTCAAATTGTACAAACAAATGGTGACCACCCCAATCTATAATTAGCCTTTTCAGTAAGGAACACATGGAAGGGCAACACACATCAAAAACAAAAATTCCCAGCTCACTTACCAGCTAGTCTGCAACAAACCAAATTGACTCTGCCTAACAGTTCACATTAACAGCAAGGGGTTTAGTCACAGACATTTGCAAATATATGTGTAAGCCAGTATATCAAGGCACCCCAATGTACTGTGGTCCCAAACCTAAAATTTATAAGTCTCCCAAATAGGAATTTTGTTTGTTGATGATGTGCATTGTTTTGCAACGCAAACATGGGAATTATTTTATTCAATGGAAATAAATTTACCACCAGTACTGTAAATGACCACTGAAAAGGTATGTTGTAGGGCAACTGCATAAGGCATCTTAACCTTTAATCCATTTTCAGGTTTTACCTGTTGTCTTGATGCATTTTTTTTTTCAAAATTGTCCTCCACCAACTCCTTTACTGCATGAACTTCTTCCCTGAATTGCAAACAAAACAAAAGTAAGCTGACTTCTCTAGCACCATGGCATTCATGTAATGCAAAGCACACTGTACTACACGCACTGTGAATCCAGGTATCCTATACTCCCCAATCGCAACCAAGATCTTGAAGCAGAACTTCCACCTCGGTGTAAAGGTCCACCTATTCAAGTTTTCCCTTCTCCCTAAAACGCTGCATAAAAAATACCTGTGGGGTAGAAAAATAGCTATATCACATACTTACCTGCTCACAGCATCTAGGCAAGGGTGACGTCATCTGCCTTCTGGATTCTATACATTTTGAGAAGCTCAAATCTCATGGGAAAACAATCCTGCCTTTCTCAACTGGGGTGTCGCAGCTAAGGTACTGTAACTTTTCATAATGCTGTATACATGTGCCTGTGTGTGTAGTTGTGTGCACATGTGTACAGGTGTTTGTGTACATGTGTATGCGTACGTACGTGTGTGTGTATACATGTGTGTGTGTGTACATATATGTGTGTGTGTGTGTGTCTGTGTATATGTGTTTGCATGTGTGTGTTTATTTTTTATATGTATGTATATGTACTTTACTTTTTTTACCTACTTACCGTCCGCCCTATAGCAGAAATACTGCTACAGGGCGACACCGGTGTACAAAATTACATACATATACGTAATTTCGCATTTCCGGGTAGGGGGCGTGCGAGCGCCCTACCCGCACCACAGATAGCAGCCTCCGGTGTCAATCACCAGGTCCCGGACGGTGATTACCCACCAGCGCCTGGTGATTGCAGAGGATTACCGACGGGGAGGAGGGCTGCTTTGTTTACCAACAGTCCTCCTTCCTGTCCAGTTTGGCCACACTGCTCTGAATGGCTGAGCAGAGCCATCCAGAGCAGTGTGCTTTACAGTGAAGCACACACACCCCCTCCCCCCCAGTAAAACACTCCCAGCACACAGTTAATTCTTTGATCATCCCTCATTGATAACCCTTTCCTGCCCAGTGCCATTAGCACTGATCACTGTATTGGTGTCACTGGGGATGTCAGTGACATCAAGTCAGTTCCCCCCAGTGTCAGAATGTCTGCCGCAGTCCCCCCTATAAGTCCCTGATCACCGCCATAAGTCGCTGATCGACGCCATTATTAGTAAAAAAAAAAAAAAAAAAAAAATTACAGTATCTATATCACCATTTGTAAGCGCTATAACTTTCACGCAAACCAATTCATTTACACGTATTGGGATTTTTTTTAGCATAGACATGTCGCAGAATACATTTTGGCCTAAATTTATGACGAAATTTGATTTTTAAATTTGTTTTACTGAACATGTTTAACCGCTTCCATGCCGCCCTATAGTAGAAATACTGCTACAGGGCAGGTCGGGTGCGCAAAATGATGTGTATATATACGTGATTCACACTCCCATGGTTTTCACGCCCCTCCCAGATAGCATCAGATTGCCCATCAGTACACAAGCAATCACATTTAACCCCTTGATTGCCAGGAAGACGCTCACACAATATAAACCTCCATTGCTAGTAGTGTCTGAACAGATCAATATCTTTGATCAGATCAGCACTATACCAGTGTTCACATTAGTATAGTGTCCTCAAAAATGCAGCGTTAGCGGGATCAGCCCCGGCACCTGCCAGCACCTGCATTTAGCCCCTACACTTACCCCCCCCCCCTTCTCCCCCAGCAAGTGCAGTGTCAGTAGGTCATTGTCACTTGATACATTGCACACAAAACTGCAGTGTTTGCAGAATCAAGCCTGATCTCTATTAGCACTTGCCGGTAAATTTTTTGGTAGCGGTTCAAGCAGTCCCTGATAGCCAGGTGCTCTGTGGCGAGTCCCTTAAGTGCAGTACAAGCTGGTGCGGTGGCAGGCACAAGTAGTGTCCAGCAACTACCAAGAATTCGCACACAGGCCCGTAGAGCCCCTAGTATCCTTCCGGATGTGCTTGCAAATCCCGATTGGTAGCCCACAAATTCTGCAGCACCTGTACTTCCCCCCCATTCACTGCCCAACCCGGAATTCAGGTGGAAACATCACATTGATTTTTTGGAGCTGTTTTTCACACAAGATCTGAATGCATTGATTGTGGATCAAAGCAATTTATATGCACAACAGTTTATTGCCGCCAACTCAAATTCAAACCTTGCCAGACCATTCACATGGAAACCCATTACGGTTTCCGAATTTCAAGTTTTTTTTTGGGCCTAACCCTCAACATGGGCATTGCTAAAAAAAAATGAATTGTGATTGTATGGTCCACAGACCCGATTCATCATATGCCATGTTCTCTGCTGCCATGGACAGACATAGATATGAGTGTATAATGTGTTTTATGCATTTCAATAACACACTCTGTCGTCCTCGGGGTGACCCTGAACTTGACCGGCTCCACAAAATTCGGCCCGTCCCCAGCAAAACATCTGCGTTGATGAGTCCCACATTAATTTTTTTGACTCCTTTCCATTCAAACAATTTCTCCCCAGCAAGCATGCCAGATATGGGGTCAAGATGTAGAAGACCTGTGAGAGGGCAACAGGCTATACATATAAGTTTCGGATTTACGAGGGAAAATATAGTCACGTGGAGCCCCCTGGATGCCCAGACTACATGGGGAGCAGTGGCAAGATAGTTTAGGATTTGGTGTCATCCTTTTTCTATATGGGGTACCACTTATAAGTGGACAAATTTTATTCAAGCGTGCCACTATTTAAACATTTGTACAATCTTGGAATTGGCACATGTGGCACCGTGAGACCTAATCGCTGGGGCTTCCCCCAACGGCTTATAAATACCCGTCTTAGAAAGGGGGAAAAAGCCTGCTTGAGTAACGAGGATGTCATTCAGCTGGAGCACCAACTTGTTTACTCTGACAGCAACAGGGTCTTACTCTCAGAATATACACAAGTCAGTGTGGGCAGCGCTGTTGGATGAGCTTTTTCATCCACAGTTAAAAAAAGAGCATATATGCCGAAGCATGGGGGCCTGGGGTGGCCAGTGGGTGGATGGCCCCTATGCTTCGGCATATATATTTTATCATATTTTTTGGCACATTAGAAGTGGGTGGATGAAGGGCGGTATATTCTGGGTATACCACACACTTTTTCTGACAGAGATTTCATCTCTTTTTTTTTTCATTCAGCCCACATGAAAAAAAAAAAAAAAAAGAACATAGCATATATACCCAACAAGGACAAGCGACGTACTGGTACATCACTTGACTTTGAGTGGTTATACCAGGATGATGCTTGCAGTTGCAGGCATCATCCTGGTATAAATTTTTTTCAGCCAGCGATCAGCTTTCATGTAAAAGCAATCCTATTGGCTAATTAGCTGCAGGATTGCTTTTACAGCAGCGGGAGAAAATGCCCCCCTCCCCTGCTGCCTTCCATGGCCTTCTCGTGCAGTCCCGTGCCATCTGGGGAACCTGAGAATGCAGCCGGAGTTTCTTCAAGCTGACCATAGAGCTGATTGGAGACCAGAGTGGTGCCAATCATCTCTATACTCTAAGAAATCGGAAGCTACAAGCATTTCATTACTCCAGTTTCGCAGGATATAAATCGAGCCATTTCTAAATTGGGAAAGCATCTGATCACACTGATCTTGGTGAGATTAGATAATGTAAGGGCAAAGGAGAAATCTAGAGTCTATTAGACCCCAGATTTAAAAAAAAAAAACAAAAAGAACATATGACAATGCCCATTGAAGTTATAGGGGATATTTGCATTCCCTGTGAATAAAATGCTAAAATAAACGAATAAATAAAATGAAAGGGACAGTGTATAAATAATAATAAAAAAAAAAACAAAAAAAAAAAAAAACACCTTAAAAAAAAAAAAAAAAAAAAAAAATCTTCCATGGACTCAATATGCCTCTCAGCAGATAGCTTAGGGTGTCTACTTTCCGAAAAGGGGTCATTTAGGGGTATTTGTACTGTCCTGGTATTTTAGCAAGGAATGTGATAGGCAGTCAGAAAGTAAAAACTGTAAACTCCATTATCTATACCATTGCTTGTAGACACTATAACTTTCATAAAAAGCAATCAATATACACTTATTGGGAATTTTTTTAACCAAAAACATGTAGCAGAATACATTTTGGTCTAAATTTATGATGAAATTTGAGTTTTTGGATATTTATTATGACAGAAATGAGAAAATATTTGTTTTTAAAAAATTTTCGGTCTTTTTTTGTTTGTAGCACGAAAAATAGAAAGTGCACAGGAGATCAAATCCCACCGAAATAAAGCTCTTTGTGTGTGAAAAAAAAGAACATAAATTTCATTTATGTACCGTATTGCATGACTGCGCAATTGTCAGTTAAACTAGTGCAGCGCTGTATAACAAAAAATGGCATAAATTGCAGTATCTATACCATAGTTTGTAGACACTATAACTTTCACACAAAACAATCAATATACATTTATTATTTTTTTACCAAAAACATGTAGCAGAATACATTTTGCCCTAAATTTATGACTAACTTTGAGTTTACTATATATTTTTCATAGCCGAAAGTAAAAAATATTTTATTTTTGTTTTTGGGCTTCTTTTGTTTATAGCACAAAAAAACAAAAAGCACACAGGTGATCAAATACCACCAAAAGAAAGCTCTATTTGTGTGACGTACATTTCGTGTGGGTACAGCATTGCATGACCGTGCAATTACCAGTTGAAACGAATAGCAAAAAAAGGCCTGGTCAGGAAGGGGGGGGTAAATCCTCAGGATGGCAAGTGGTGAATCTCGACTCCCTATTCCTGTCCTTTCAGAACTGCTTTTTAGGACTTGCTTGTAATAGCAACAGCAAGGACTGCTGCTTCTCTGAAAATCAATCCATGCTCAGATTGCTTTTCAGAGGCAATTGCCAGGTGGTAAAGAGGCAATATGTTGCCTCCTCACCACCTAGTTTAACCCCGTGAAAAGCAGCATCAATCACCACCCCACAACTGCGTGCAATTGACACTGTAACCTGGTTGCGTAATATTCTGTTTTTAGTATCTAAGATGTTCTCTAGTCCTGTGTGTCATTATGATTTTCTTGTGTTTTTTTTTAAATGTTAGAAGGTTACTTCAAATAAACCTAAATTAAATAAGAAATATTTTTATTCTATATTACAACTAAGAAAATAAAATAATATAATTCAATACACTAACACTATTCTTCATCTTTATATAAACCTGAACCATTGGAAAGATCTTTTATTTAGAAACAAAATACTGAAAGTCCAAGATGAGCTTCTAACCCAATAACACAAATTATAAGCACTACAAAACTCGAACTATTTTCAGGGCATGGAAAATCCCTTTGTTTAGCTTTAAGAGGGAAAAGAGGGAGAGGGAGAGGGAGAGAGAGAGAGGGGGAGAGAGAGAGAGAGCGAGAGAGGGGGAGAGAGAGAGAGAGAGAGAGAGAGAGAGAGAGAGAGAGTCTGTGTGTTTATATAAAAAATAAATATAAGTCATGTGAAAAAAAAAAAATATTATTTCAGTAGCTGCTAGCTTTTAAACAACTAACATTTATCTTACATCTCTCAGGGATTCTGTTGGCGAGATCTCAGTGTTCAAATTCTCTGGTCTGCATTCCACTTTCCCAGTTTTTTTTTTTTTATGCATTTTAATTTGTAGAATGCAACAGGAGAAACTGAAAGAACGCAGGGAGATCTCATATTTGCAAAATCCAAGATATAAAAACTGCCAAGGGTTAATTCAGGTCACTGGGCTCCATCAATAATAAATATATACAGTAGATATCCCCTCACTTCCTATATGGATGACCAAACGGAGTGGGGTGAATCCCCTTCAACCTTTGGAAAGTTTGTAATGCTGTGTACCTGGTAAGTGGTCCCTCTCTCTCTCTTCATCCCAGTAACTACCTTTTACTAAGAGATAAAACATGAGTCCAGGACAGAAATAAACACCTGTTTTCTTAGCGGTTTCCTTTACAGAAGTGGTCTCCAAACTGCGGCCCTTTTGGTACTATTCCTGCCACTGATACAAGGCACTATTCCACCCCACTGACACCAACAATGGGGCACCATTCCTCCCACTGAGTAGAGTGATGGGGCACTATTCCTCCCACTGATGACAATGATGGGGGACTGTTTACTCCCAGGGCATTTTCTATTCACACTGGTCATTCTGCCCCCCCCCCCCCCCCCCAAGTCTGAAGGACAGTAAACTGGCCCTTTGTTTGGAAAGTTTGGAGACCCCTGCTATAGCATTGCTGCCAAGCTTAAGGTATTACATTTTCTATCTTCTTACCTCAGATCCTGAAAATTAGCTATTTGATTCCTGTATAGATCATCAAGCTGTTGCATCCTTTTTGCCATTTCTGAATCCATCCTTCGAAGAACCAGCAAATATATATAATAAGCAGACTTTCAGCTACTAAATACAATTTTTTTGTTCTATTAAGAAGCTTGTGCATTCACAAATACAGACAGACTTCAAATACTTTACATTATATCTTTGTATCTCAAATATGGATGGTTTTCAAAGTAGAATAAGGTCTAATTCTAGATAGAAGACCATGATATCTATGAACCATCATCTCTCTGTCAGCAAGGTGTGTATTACAGGGTGTGTCCCTTCCACACAAAGTGGAAATGAACATGAAAATGTACCTTTTAACTGGAATTCCTATTGAAAAAAATAGCAGTGTACAGCCTCATAGCTGTATATCTGCTGTTTGGGACCGTAGGCACTGCTGCCTCTGACTGGTGGACTCAGGAGATTTGGAGCTCTGACATGAAGAAGCAATACCCTGCCTCTACAAGGATGGCTGCCTTCACATAAAAACACGGTGCTTAACAAGACATAAATGAGAAATGAGTAAGATCAGCTGCAGGGTGACCATGGGTAATGATGGCGATTAGTCCTTTTAGCTCAGCTTCCAGAGTTCAAGTGGAACTGTACTGCATCTGAGCACCACAAACCATAAATGCTATTTAGTTCATTGTTGATATTCAAAAGAAAACTCAGCCATCTATCCATGTCTCCATGCTTTATATTGCTAAAATAGAGTTTTGAAAAACACCCCCTAGCATTTCCGGCTGTAGCATTTACTTCCTGGAATCCATATGCCCTTAGCTCAGGCATTGGCTGAGCTGAGAATCCTCCCCTTCTGAAGACTGCTGGGATGTATGAATCATTTGCCTAGGCAGGAAGCCTGGAAGAACTGAAGAAATATAAAAATAAGGATTAAAAATAGTCATTGTTGATTGAGAGAGTGAAGTTTCACTTTAAGTTCCTCTTTTACAACTTGCCATCTGGCCATTGTATTAAAAATGGCCAGAAAGATGCCTCCTAAGGGTGGAAGGCCATTTTAAAATCATCTAGCGCTTGTATGGGCACACTCTGTTATTACTGTGTCCACTGGACATGGCAGATCACAAAGCAGGGTACAATGAACCAATGTCATGATCGCCATCTAGCATCATTAACAGTGTCATTAGGTACCAGTACAGCCACTGCTAAAAATGTGAGGCCTTTCAAACTCTGAGTATATCTTATGACAGCAGCAGTCAGATTCGGAATCAGAGTATGAATCTAAGGAAAGCAGCGGTTCATTACCAGACACCTCTGATTTAGAGGATGGAGGGGTCCCTGCTAAAAAGGTTAGGTGTACTATGTCAACAAGCACTGAAAATCCTACTGAATTGCAGCTGGCATGCATCAACAGTGCAGTACAATCCTGGTGAAAAAACTGAAAGTCAGTTAGGCAGTCAGGATATCAGATACATAAATTATGCCCCTTTGAAGCCTGAAGGTGCTTTGTACCCCATACTCAGGAGGAGTAAAAGAATGAGTTTTAGCATGAAACTGCAAGTATCCCTAAGCTGTGCGTGAGAAATATCTTTATTTTTGTTTCAAAATCTATTTATGGTCTTCATTTTCCCCAAAAATTGTGAAAAAAAAAAAAAAAAAAGATAATTTTGTGGGTACTGTTTTGGCATTTTTGGGCCTCAAGAACGGAGGTCGGCAGTCAGAAAATCATGGTTATTACATTTCAAACATATACTGTATTCCATAGTCTGTAGACTAAATATTTTGTTTTACAAAAGGTAGCAGATTACATTTTGTCATAAATTCAGGAACAGAAACCAAAAAGGTAACAAAGTTTTTTTTTTTTTTTTTTTTAATGTTCTGCCTTTTTTCTTTTATATAGCAAAAAAAATCCAAAAAGAAATACTGGTTATTACATACCTCCAAAAGCAAGCTGTCCCTAAAAAAAATTATAAAAATTAATTTGGGTACAATGTTGGATGACTGAGTAACTGTGAAAGTATCACAGTGCTGAAAACTGAAAAATGGCTTGGACAGAAAAGGCCAGTGAAGTGGTTCTAAAGGCTGAAGGCTTTTTACCATCATGTATTCTATGCATGAAGGTAACAAACCTTCTGTGTGCAGCTCTGCCCTCAGCCCCCCTAATAATTGCCCAAGCTGATGTGCACAACAGCAGCGGCTCTCCCGAGTCTCTCCTTCCTCAGTGGCTACTGCTGCTGTCAATCACAGCCAGTGAGGAGGGTGTGGGGCTGAGCCATGCTCTGTGTATCTTATGCACATACAGAGGTGGCTCGGGAGCAAGCATGCACAAGTGTCTCCAGAGCAAGCAGCTTGCTCTGGTGACACTCAACAGTAGTGTGGGGCCAGGAGCACCAAGTAAGTATAACATGTTTGTTTTTCCTTAACTACCTCCAGTCCAGGCCATTTCTGGCACCTTTTGTTCACATGTAACAATCCGTTTTTTTTTTTCTTTTTCAAGAAAATTACTTAGAACCCCCAAACATTATATAATTTTTTTTAATGCAGAGGCCCTAGAGAATAAATTGGTGGTTTTGAAATTTTTTTATGTCACACAGTATTTGCGCAGCAGTTTTTCAAACGCAATTAATGGGATAAAATGCACCTTTTTTAATTTTATTACAAAAAAAAAAAACACAATGCCCTTTTTGTTGTAAAATATAAAAGATGATGTTACACCAAGGAAATATATACCAAACATGTCATGTTTTAAAATTACACATACCTGTGCAATGGCAACAAACAGTGTAAATGTTACTATCCATAGGTGACAATTAAAAAGCCTTTACAGGTTACCACTTTAGATTTACAGAGGTTTGGTGGTAGAATTGCTGCCCATGATCTGACATTTGCGATTATACCTCACGTGTGGGTCGATTGCTGTTTGCGTGCATGTAGGACCGATGTGAACATTAACCTTTGAGCACGAGCACAGGAGGATGGGGGTGCTTTAATTTTTTTTTATTATTATTATTAGTAATGTATTTTTTTATTTTTACACTGCATGTGACAGAAACTCTTTAGGGAAAGATCTGGGGTCTATAAGACTTCAAATCCCTCCTCTGCACTTAAAAGCATTCAAAAACACCAAGATATGTGTTTCTCTATGCTTTTATTTTTTCGAAATGGTGCTGTTTACTTCCGAGCAAACCAGAAGTGATGTCAGGTCATAGTTTCTAGTTTACTATAATGGACAGCCGATCAAAGCTGGCTGGTGTCTCGGGTCTCTTGGTGGGACAGCGGAAGGTGGCAGGAGTCCCCTCCCGCTGCTTGTAATAGCAATCTAGTGGCTGGAAAGCCAATCCGATTGCTATTACAAGAGAGCAGCAGGCACCAATCCAGTATAAACACCGAAAATCCAGGGACGTACAGGTACGTTACTGGACGGGAAATAGTTATAAAGCGGAACCTTTAGTACCATGTTTAACATCACGGTCCTCAAGTGGTTCAATATATTACCTTGAAGCATCTTTTGTCTTGAGGTCTTCCTTTTCATTTTCCTTCTCTTTCAGTGGGTCGATTTCATTACATAATCTAGATGGAGAGCCATGCAGGCTTTTCTGTTCTCTGCTCCAGTTGACTCTAATTGGACAGCATAAAATGAAAGGTAAAATTACTTATATAATGATTTTATTCAAAAGGAACCCCCCCCCCCCCCAAAAAAAAAAAAAAAAAAACTTGCACAGTAATATAAATGTCAAAACTATAATGGGCAGACAGCAGTGGAAGCAGACCATTTGTAAAATTATTAGCTTTGATTATACTCTAGATCATGGGTAGGCAACCTTAAAGAGGTGGACCTCTACCTGAACGACACAGGAGAAGTCAAGAATCATTGGGCACAGTGTCAGCCAGTGTCAACTTCTCACACCTTATTTCAACCTCTAATTGCCGTGTCACAATCGCGTGCACAGCAATTATAGGTTTAAATCAGGTAGTGAGGAGGCAACACATTACCTTCTCACTACCTGTCAAACATATTTGGATCAGTTTGCAGAGAAGCAGCGGTGTTTGTTGCACCTGTGAATGAGCCCTTAGTTGCATCTGCAGCAGCACTGTTAGGGTTCATTCACATGTAAAGTTGGGGGGGTGGTGAAACCCTGCGGTTCAGTCATGGTTTTACAGCTCCCCCAATCCCTACCCCCTTTAGCTACTGAGGCAGCAGCCAAAGGTATACATTTTCTGCAGCAGGAATTAAACCCCTGCTTTTGGTGGGTGCTACTGCCTGTCAGTCGAGTCCCATTCAAGTAAATGGGGCCACTCTGCAAGTGCCCCACAACTGCATGATTCTGTGGGATCCAAGGGGTTAAAGCACATGGTAAGAAAGCAACAAACCTCTGCCTGTTTAACCTGGTTTGCTGTACTGCACAAGGTTGCACACTCTTGCAGAGCGGCCTCATTCACTTGAATGGGTCATGCTTAGCAGGTGCTACACCCACCAACCTTGTCAGGGCGTAGGAGCCAGCACTACAGAGACATTAACTTATGCGGCTCTTGCTCCCTACTACAGCTCCAACTTTACAAGTAGTCCCTCTGCATTTCATTCTGTTTAATGATCTGAGATGGTGAGTCAGCAAGCTGACCATGATCTACCAGTCACCGGGCCGAGATCTACTGGTAGAGCATGACCTACTGGTTCTTGACCCCAGTCTAGGTTATTAGAGTGTATTTCCTCCTCAACTAGACAGCAACTTACAGAGGTCTGATTTGTGTCTAAGGGCTTAAAGTGGCTGTAAAGCCTAAACATTTTTTACCTTAATGCATTCCCTGCATCAACAAATATGTACACTCAACATTTCATATTCCTGATATGTGCCTGCTGTACCATCTTGTACGAAAAAGTATCCTCTTCAATTTGTATTGGTTCCCTTGAGTGAAATTACTGATGTTCCTGCCAGTGCGTTCCTAATAAAAATGGACCACACAAGAGGAGAACACACTGTGGTCAGTTGTCTAGCTAAGCTGGAAACTCAGCCTGCTCTCCATCAATGATCAGACT